CAAGGGATAAGCTCGATTTTTACCTTTTCGATGGGAACATGAGGCCATTTTGTTTAGACCAGTACTGTTTGTAGAGGGGAACAGGCTCTGGTCCAGATTGTAAATGCCTTGAAGTATATCAGAGGATATCAAAATACAAAAATGGTCTTTCACGGAGGCAATTAAGGGTTTTGCTAAAGCAAAAGTAGGGGACCCGCAAAAGTGATCATTGCTAGGCCCACAATTCAGATGAGGAGGGGAGAGGGGGAGATAAAGTAAAGACAACTCGAATGGAAAATGCTATCTTCCAGCATAACTTACCGAGTCCCAAGCGGCTGTGGCAGGCTCTAGAAGGCTGTTCCCGAACACCGATCTGGAACACATGTTATGCAGGTGCAGGGCCGGTATGGGTAGGTATGGGCGCCACCCCTGAGGCTCGATTTCTGGGGACGGATTCACGTACGTCTGTTTTCGGAAGTGGAAGGTTGACTGATGACAGGCTTTGCGCGTTTGTGTCTGCAGTTGGTATTGCTTTTGCCTCCAGTCGACGAAATTGTGACAACAGTGGACCTGATTAAAGATGACACGGTGGTGGAATTTTTCCACTAGCCCAAACGGACAGAGCGCAGTTTTTGTCCTGATTAAGGGGCTGAGCGGACAACCGTAACATCAACAGTTGCTTTTAGTTGTGTCCTATCGGAGACGCAGGTGACTGAGAGGCATTGAATGACTGTAAGCGTCTGGGCGACCTATTCGAGGCGTCCGCGATAGAACGAGTGAGTGGGCAAGATAGCGAAAGAAGCAGAGCGACAAAGGGTGTGTATGCTTATATATATATATGTGTGTGTGTGCGTGTTGTTGGCGTGCCCTGTGTGTCTCCCTTCATTTGTGTTGTTCAGTGTGTCGGTGAATGTGCGGTACAGAGAGAGAGAGAGAGAGAGAGGCAAGTAGAGGCGTGTAGATAAGTTTGTCCCCGTCCGCATATTTCGTGCATCTATGCGTAGACAGATAGGTTTGTTCTGAGGGCCAGTGGGAAACGGGACTGTATGAGACGAAATGCGACGCAAGACATATCAAAAAGGGAGACGGAAGGATAGAATGTAGTGAGTAAAGAGAGGGAGAGAGAGAGAGAATGAGTGGGCCCGGGGACATGGATAAAAGATATAGCATCAACAGGACATCAGAAAGGTACCGAATAATCTCTTCCCTCTCCCATCTCGGAATAGTTGGTCGTCTTCGCGTCTAGTGCCTTCTTCCAAGTCCGAACGGCCCACCAGCCCTCTGGCAGACAATTTCTCTGGCACATGCACATGCCTCTATTCGGGTTCCCTGTGCCCCAGGCTCAGCCTCCACCCCCAATTGGCCGAAGAGACACTTGTGCAGAGGTTGTCCGCACAGTTGTCCTCAGTCTGCAGCCGGACAAGTCGCCTCGGCCGGTCAGATTGTGAGGCTGATTGGAGTGAATGTGGACTCTGTATGCCTCTCGGCGTGCGTCTGAGGGGTAGATGGCCTGCCTCAAATTGCCTCCACGAATACGATCGAGCAGCAGTGACAAGTGGTCTGGTTGATTGGGGCAATAAGACCGCACCGTGTGAGGAGTGATGGCCGAAAGACACCGGGAAATGGGAAATGGGAAATGAGAGATAGGAACTAGGATGGGCAAGCTAGGCAGGAGACATGCAGGTATGAGAAGCGAACGAGTGTGGCGGGGAAAGAGTAGGCGTGTATGCATGCACCCATAGCATATACGGTGTCCGAAATACACACACACACATACACACACACACGGCAGAGGAGAGCAGACAAAATGTGTTTTGGTGACTCCGGCCTCATTGTTGCGTACGTGAGAATGTGACCAAGTTTACCGCAATACATTGTACACTAAGTGGAATATGAGTAGAAGACCTGAGGCGAAGGGAAAGAGGAGAAACGGTGTGATCTAATGGTGTGCCCGACTGTGTGAAATCGGCTAGTCAGTGCACGAGTGTGCAGTAGTTGTACCGCTTGCCAATGCTGTCTGGAATTCTCGTGAAGGCATGAGGATGACAAGTGAAGCTGAGAACATTGAAAGGACGAATACAAACAGACAGCACAAACAGTTATTTTGGATCAGTGTGTGTCCTCATCCGTGCCCAATTACCCAATGATAGATCATTTATTTATTTATCTAAGCAATTTGTTGATCTACCCCTCCAATAACCTACCCCATTATACACATACACTCCTGAGATTATCTATCCGTCTGACATACAAATGGACCAAATGCAGTCCATTAATGACGAAAAACAGTAAGAGGCGTGGTGACGATAGCGATGTGGAAACCATCAAGAAGACAACACTTGATTTTGTTCCTTAATCCCACTGTTTGGTTCATATCATGTGCGGACTGCAGTATATAACCCACCTTTACTTCTTGAGCTTACTTCCATTTCGAGTGAAAGTGTTGGGTGAAGAGAGCTTCGAAGGTCAGTTCCACCAGAAGACGACAGCGCATTCCTCTTGACCAACTCTCGATTGGCTTTACTGGAAGATTCATGCTGACGCTGTTTCCGAGGCAATCTC